GCCATTCTCCTGCCTCAGCCTCCCGAGTAGCTGGGATTGCAGGCACCCACCACCACGCCCAGCTAATATTTTTAGTAGAGACGGGATTTCACCATGTTAGCCAGGAAGGTCTCGATCCCCTGACTTCGTGATCCACCTGCCTCGGCCTTCCAAAGTGCTGGGATTACAGGCGTGAGCCACCTTGCCCAGCCTGACACTTCTTTTTTGTTGGTAGACAGTGATAAAGCATTGCTTTGGAACGTTAAGAGATAATCATTCTATAAGATCTAATGTTTCTCAAATATGGACTATATGGCAAGCACTTTGCTGAGTTCTTTATGCTTATACCAGGGAGGTCAAATACCTTGTCCAGTATCACAGAAGCAGTGAGGGAGGGTCAAAGCTGCCACTGCAACCCAGAAAGTCTGACTCCACACCTACTATGCTATTTGTGTTTTAAGTCAAGTTCATCAGCTTTATGGAACCTCAAAGATTATGACTAACCGGTTGTACACAGTGGGAGATACACATAAACCTGAAAGCATGTATAATTTAAAACGAACTTTAGAAATTTTCTTTGACTTGGCTTATGTTCTTGAAGTCACCTTTAAAAGTTCCTGTGTGTGTCAGGGGGTGTGTGTGTGTGTGTGTGTGTGTGTGTGTGTATGTGTAAATACTTGGAAGCTTCTGATTTACTCTGAACAAAAATGTCATTCATGTTCGTTTATGTTTTACAAACCATTTTTACATGTATCCCATAAACCTCCTGAAAATCTTGAGAGAGAAGCAATCCAGAGATTACCTTTCCAGTTTTACAGATGAGAACCCTGAAGGACTGTGTACCTGTTACACCACTGAACAATGGGAAAACCAGGTTCCCTGTCTCCCCATTCCATCTTGTTCCAGTATTCCATTCTACCTGTCCTCTTTGGTTTCAGTGGTAACCTTTAGTAAGAAAGTGGTGGCAGTGCTTCTAAATCTTTGGTAAATTAAATGAAAGGTTTTGTTTGTTTGTTTGTTTGAGACAGGGTCTCGTTCTGTCACCTAGGCTGGAGTGCAGTGGCACAATCACAGCTCACTGCAGCTTCAACCTCCCAGGTTAAAGTGATTCTCCCACCTCAGCCTCCCCAGTAACTGGGACTGTGGACACGTGCCACTACACCCAGCTAATTTTTAATTTTTTGTAGAGATGTGGTCTCGCTATGTTGCCTAAGCTGGTCTCAAACTCCTGGGCTCAAGCAGTCCTCCCTCCTCAGCCTCCTGAATAGCTGGGATTACAGGCACATGCCACCATGCCCAACAAAAGATTTTTTTGAAATCACAGCATGTGTCAAAGTCAAAGCCATGACTAAGGCTGTGAATTCTTGAGTCTGCCATATGTCTGTGCCAGCAGCTCATTTTTGGACTTTCCATTTTCTTTCAGAGAATGAGATTCAGATTCTGTTGAGCTGAGAAGAAGATATAGAAAGCATATAAAATAAAAACAAATACTTGGATAATTTAAAGTAAGATCTAGTTATGGAGGGATTTTTTTTCCTCCAGGAAATTAACATTACTGAGAGATTTTCCCAGAGATATTCCCTTCATGCAGTGTCTGAGAGAGAAGGCCTTTTGTTTTTTTGTAAACATGTATACACTCAGTGTTAAATTGAGTGCATCTCATTTCATATGTAGTGGCTCACCCATTGGCACTACCCTTTTCCTGTTACATCCAGTTTCTATTAAAATAGGTTAATTAAAATTTTTAAATGAAATTATTCTTTCTCCTTATCATTCTGACAGTTTGCTGTCTCCTAAGTGAAAAGTCAGTCACTGAGTTTGGACAGTTGTAGTTCCAGTAAGAGGTCTCAGTCCCAAGCACCCACTGAGCACGCCGCAGGTACCAGGCACTTTGCATGTGTTAATTCTGTTCTCATGCCATGTACATTATGCCCATTTTACAGATCGAGAAATATGTGCTCAGAAAGGCAAAGCCGCACAGCTAGAAGCAGACAAGACTATGATCTGTGGTCTGCTGTTATAACCTATCCTTTTTCTACCTATTTGTAACGTATTTGCAGGCTGGGGGCCAGGTCTGGCCTGAAGACAAAATTAATCATAATTTTGATGAAGATAGAGGTACTTTTGCTGCTGGCAGCTGCTTACTGTGGCTCACTGTGCTAGACACTATTCTGAGTGCCTTATCCACTTAATCCTCCCCACAACCCCATGAGGTAGGGATTGTTTTTGTCCCCATTTTCCAGATGAACAAGTGAAGGCACACAAGGTTAAGTACTTTGCCCACATTAGTAAGTGGTAAAGCCAGGATTCAAACTCGGGTAGTGAGGCTCTCCAGGGTCAGTGCTCATAATCATGACCTTTCATTTTTCACTGGTGTCATACTGCATTATTTTTTAAAGAAATTATGATTGAAAACTTGGGAGATTTTACATAACAATACAGATTTCCAGCTTGTCTTGAAAAGTCAGAAGTTTGGCAACCCCAAGTCCACTCTCCTCCAGGGCACAAACTGGCACTGAGTGCCCAGCTGCCTTCAGCCTAGACCCACTCTCTACACATCTCATTTGCATCTCTGGCCTGGCACTGGTGCACGGAGGAGCGTGTAGCCGGAGACTGCCCCACTCTCTGCTCATTGGCTACCGGCAACACCCGTCCTAGGAGCCAGAGGTTCTGGTGATTCTGGAACATGGCAGGTTCAAACCAAGATAAGGGTAGAGTAATTCCCAACTGAAGTTAGAACTTTTTAAACAATTGATTTTCTACATCATTTTTTCTTTTAGTTGGTAAGAGAATTCTTAGTGTCTTTGTCTTTAAAGTGTAGTTATTATACCACTGGAATCTTCATCACCTGGGTACTTTAAAAGTGTACATTTTGGAACCCTACCCCAAACCTGTTTTCTGGAGGACAGAGCCAGAAATACGCATTTTAACAATCTCTCCAGGTGATTCTTTTATGCACTTAAGTGTGAAAAGTCTACTTTCCAAGATATGCCAGAAATGAATATTTGTTGGCTTCTAGAGAATTAAAGGTGATTCTTTTAATTCTTGCCAGGTTTTGAATTTATTTTGTTATTGATTGGTCATTTCAAAATTTTTCTTCTGTGTTGGCCTAGTTCCTTTCTGTTCCCTTACTTCTAGTTGATCTATTCATCTGCACTCTTGGATGTAAGTTGCAAAATTAACTCAAATTATTTAAGCAGGAAAGTGAATTTGGGGGTTCAAGCAATCAAAACAACGGGCATCCTTGATTTCAGGTATGAAATCAGAGATCAGAGGCTCAGTCTGGGATATTAGATGACTTTCTCCATCTTTCACCTCGCCTTTCCTCTGTGTGCACTTAATTCTCTGGCAAGTCATGTCAAGTTATGTCAAGATGGCTGCCAACACCTGCAGCATGAGAACCTATTAGCAAATAGGCTCCAGCCTCAAGCAACCACCTCTGGCTTCATGGTTCCAGTAAATCTTCCATGTCTGACATTCAAATTTGTTTGCCTTAGATCACGTACCTATTCCTGACCTAATAACAAAGACAAAAATGATAGAATACTTCAGATTGGCAAGGAGTACGATGTGGAGCCAGGAGTAGGTCCCCTCCTGGACCATGTGGGACCTGGAGTGGAGGGAAGCACCACAAGGATACCTGAGTGGTGCTAGCAGGAGAAGAGCAGATAGATGCAGGGCTGGGAATACCTACAGGCAGCCTCCTCAAGGGTAGTACATCTTTGGTGGTGGTGGTGGTTTAGTAGGCTTAGCATGTCCTGCATCCAGCTTTTAGATTACCTTTACTCTCATGTGTGTCATTGGGAGTTCTCATCAGAGAAAGCTTTGAAAACAGCCTTTTATCATTCTTCAGTCTGTTTTCACTAAATCAGAAATGTCTACAGAATTACTGTGGGAGATAGAAATTCGCTTCATACCCTGATTATTCAGTTTTAAAGCCCCATAGAGATTGACATTTAATATCATCGGCCTCTATAAAAATTCAACCAGAATGTCAACAATGCCATTTGGGGATACTTTGATGACATCACCCCTGATGTTTCTAGTTAATAAGAAGGCAAGGAGACTCAAGTATTTCGAGCCTTCTTTTAAGACTCAAGTCGTATCAGTCTGCCCACATGATACTGTTCTCGGGGTAACTGTCTTGGTTTTCACAGGAGCATAACTTTTTCAAAAGAGGTTCCAATCTGACTCACTGGTATAGCTCTCTCCATATTCTAAACTTTTGTATATGTTTCAGCTTAATTTACCATTCTTTGATCTTTGCCAGTGTCTACCAAAGATATTTATACAAATATAAAAATAACGTAAAATAATTTCTACAAGAATGGGTAATAATGCCACTGTGTCTGTGTTTTCACCCTGGATACTTTTTTGTGCCCAAACATCTTTTGAATAATGAAATCAAGTGATACCTATGGAATGAGGGTGCAGATCCATCTGTGTTTTGATGGCCTTCTTAGTTTAAGAGTTTGAGTCATGAATTTGTTTCTTCTTTGACATTTCCAAGATTGTGAGCAATACGTTACTTGGGATTTTTTTCCCCTTCTTCTTAAGTAAAATAAGTTTCGTTGATCATTTCGATGCTTTCCAATTAAGGGACAGACATCTAAATAAAATAGGAGTAATAGTTAATGGCCAGGAATTAGGAAAGGATAAGAGCTTTTAAGAATATAGATGTGTATAGTTGCATACTTCCCAGGTATGGGTTATGATTGCTGAATACCTTTTTTTTTTTCTCCCTCTCTTTCTCTCTCTCTCTCTCTCTCACCTCTTCACATGATTAAGCAGCCGATTCTGGTGAACAAGACGAGCACACTCTCCAAGAAACAGCATTACCACCTGTGAATAATAGCATCATCGCTGCTCCCATCACGGACCCTTCTCAGAAGTTCCCTCAATACCTACCTCTTTCTGCAGAGGATAATTTAGGTCCTCTACCTGAAAACTGGGAGATGGCCTATACCGAAAATGGAGAAGTCTATTTTATAGAGTAAAGTATACCATTATTTCTACCTAAATCTCTCTTTCTTTTCCCTTCCTTCCCTCTGTCTAGCAGCTGCCAATGTAAACTACATTTAAGGGATTGATCACCCACTGATGGTATTTTTTAATAAGGTTTAATAAGTTTTGCATAAAAAGGTAATTAATTCTCTACTTATTGATTCTGAACAGTTTGAGGAAGCATAAAGTTAATCATTTCCCTAAAGGTTTAGACAACTACATTATGGTATATAGAAATTATGACATAATATTTAAAGAGCATATTTAACCATTAAAAATAGTAAATATGTTGCTTTTTTTTTCTTAATTGAACTGCAATGTCCTTATTGTTTTAAGACTTCTTCATATATTCTGGATACAATTCCTTTATCATATATGTGATTTGTATGCGTTTTCTCCAAGTCCAGCTTTTCTTTTCATTGTCTCAACTATGTCTTTCAAAGAGCAAAAATTCTTAATTTTGATGAAGTCTGATTTAACAGTTTTCTTTTTAGTCAATTGTGCTTTTTCTGTAGTAGCTAGGAAATCTTTGCCTAACACAGTCAAAAATATTTTCATTTTTTACATTTTATGTTTAGGTCTGCAATACACAAGTTAATATTTTTACATGGTGCAAGGTGTATGAATTAAGATTTGAGAACAGACAGACAGGAAAGTCTCTCAGATTTATAAAACGTAAATGCTATATAGTTAAACATTTAACAATCTTTTCTGAAAAGGAAAAAAAGAATGGCTACATTTTAAACCATTCTGGAAAATCTAAGATAATGTGGTTTTCCTAACCAACAGTAGTCAGTTTTTAAGTGCAGTATTTTGACTGTATTATCCTATCATTGAGATTCACCATGTTTTAGTGTACCACTAAGGAAAAGGAAAATGACTGATTAAATTATTTAAAAAATAAAACCACAGATTCATCTATTATACCTACATAGATTGAAATTGATCTACTGTTAAGTCAACGATAACAAAGGGGAGGACATTGCAGAAAACTATGAGAAGGATCTCAATTTTGCAAAATATGCATGTATACACACATATCCTGCATCTATTCTGTGTGTACATTTGTTTCTGTTAATATGTAGATCAAGTTCTAGATGCAGAAAGTTCTAGAAGTATCTATTAACAGTTCGGTTTGAGTTAAGTAAATAACTTACTTTCTAACCAGATGTTTCATTGATGTGGGTTGTGAATTTTTTATACTTTGTGTATGTGTGTATACACACACTTTATTTATTTATTTATTTATTTATTTATTTATTTATTTATTTATTTCCCTTCCTGAGATGGGGCCTCACTGTGTTGCCTGGGCTGGAGTGCCGTGGCATGATCATAGCTCACTGCAGCCTCTATCTCCTGGGCTTAAGTGATCCTCCCACCTCAGCCTCCCAAAGTGCTGGAATTACAGGTGTGAGTCACTAAGCCTGGCATACTTAAGCATATGTTTTATAATTAGAAAAAAACAATGAAAATTAGGTAGTATGATTTTTCTAAACATATGGGAGTTAGAGAAAAGGCTTGGATCTCAGAACACCCTCTTGGACAGCCGGGTGCAGTGGCTCACGCCTGTAATCCCAGCATTTTGGGAGGCCACGGCAGGCAGATCATCTGAAGTCACGAATTCTAGACCAGCCTGGCCAACATGGTGAAACTCCATCTCTATTTAAAAATACAAAAATTAGCCAGGTATAGTAGTGCATGCCTATAGTTCTAGCCACTTGAGAGGCTGAGGCAGGAGAATCACTTGAACCTCGGAGGTGGAGGTTGCAGTGAGCCGAGATCGCACCACTGCATAGCTTGGGTAACAGAGCAAGGCTCTGTCTCAAAAAAAAAAAAAAAAAAAGAATACCGTCTTTGAGAACCTACCCAGGAAGAATTCTGAGATAAGTGAATTAGAGCTTCTGTGCTATTTTCCAGCTAGAGGGAGGGGACAACTCATGTTTCTGTCTTCATGTTAATGACAAATGCTTTTTAAAAATAAGGATAAAAGAAATAGTCTTTTCTTGAGAGTCAAGAAGTGTATTAATTAAGAACTCAACTAAAGGGTCATGTTGTTTCCAGCATTTACAAGTTATTTGACCTTAGGAACTTTAGTTTACCTCTTGCATCTCAGTTTTCTATATATATAAAAGGAGAACATGAATACTATGAATTGTACCTATCTTGTCAAACTGTTGGTAAGAATTAGAGGAGATAGAGAAACTAAAGTTCTTGGGCTAGTACTAATTAGTGATCACTATTGTTATTGTTACCATTGTCATCATCATTACCTGTGGTTATTCTGAGAAGTTTAAACATTGTTATAAAAATGGATGCCAACCATAAAATCAAAAATTTACTTAGCTTTTGCAATAAATTGCCTTTGAAATTATGTCACGTTAGTAAAGAAGAATTATGCTGAGAAAAGGGAAGGATATTTGGTGTTCCTGGTACAGAATAATCTGTGAAACTCAGATTCTTAGAAAAGAATGTACCAGTAATTTTGTTCAAAACTAACTTGATACATTGGAAAAAGGGAAGTTGGATATCTTGATGGTTAGCGGGATGCTGGCCTTCTAAACTATGGCTGGCTTTCAAGAGAATGTAGTGATTTGCCTAGTTTTTATAACTTAGCTTTTAGGTGATGTAAAGCCAGTGTTTCACTTGCCTAAGGTTTAGTAGAAAAATTATACAAAAATGTGGCTTATGATAATTATGGGATTTGTTTGTGACTATCAGATTTCACATGTATTAAGTGATTAGATACATATCATTTATATTTTTAGCCTAAATTGTATATACCGGTTACTTTGTTTTCATGTGTTTTTCATTCTAAAAAACTTCTTTTTAGGATGTCTTACATTGAATAGCAAATTAAACCGCATTAGAACCAGATCTACCTTTTTATGCATGTGCGTGTGTGTACACTCACATGCAAATATATATACATTTGTTTTATAGGTTTTGGGAAATTGAAGAAATAGTAGAAATTTAAAAGAACTTTAAAAAATCAAGCATGGATTTGTAAACCTTTGGCATTGTGTAGAAAACAAACATAAGAAGTCTTTGAAAGTAAGAGCAAATAAGACAGACTAGCTAGGGAACCTGGGATCAAAGGAATACTAGGTGATGAGTTCCCTTTCTGTTTTACTTCATTTATCCAGACTTAGAGCTAAAGAGCCAGCAACCCAGAAATACCAACAGACGGAGGCAAATAAAGCCCTAATAAAAGCCTGCTCTCTCTATCCAAAGGATCAGGAAAGGGACATCCTACAAGACAGAAAACTTTTATTCAACAACCATTCTACTCTAGCAACAGCACAGAAAAGCGTGTGATCCCATGCCCCAAGGGTAGAAGCTTAGACTTCTATCCTTGACAGGCTGTGTGACTAGAAGCTGAAACCTCCTTGCTGGGTGGTGTCAGAAAAGGCCAAGTGTAGAGCTGGCACTTTGCATCCAGGCAGTAAGGAGATTCCCCTTATTTCCACATAGATTTAGTGGAGACCGCTTGAGGGAACTCGGACTTCCACCCCACCTGGCAGTAATGAAACACCCTCTTCCTCCCCACTGGTGTGGTGTCAGAGGAGGTTTAGAGGAGAATCAGGATTTTTACCACCATCCAGTGGTAAAGAGCCCACCCTCTCCGTATGGAGTCAGAGAGGCCAGCTTGTGAGCAATAGTGAGATAGTCCTACCCCTCCCAGCCTAGCTGGTATCAACAAAGGCCTAGTGGGGAGCTCAAGCCACCATCCCCACCCAGCAGTAAGAAGGAGCCCATTCCCCTCTCCGGTATCAACAAAAGCCAAGTGGGGACCCCACCTAAAAGTAACAGATAACCCCCTTTCCTCTTTTCAGCCATATTAGGAAAAGCCAATAGAAGGTATAAGATCCAGACCCCTATAATGTAATACCGAAAATATACACATTAGTAATAAAAAAAAATCACTTGTTATCCTAAGAATCAGGAAGATATCAAAATGAGTGAAAAAAGGCGATGAGTGAATACCAACACAGGGATAATAGCACTGTTAGAAATACCTAACAGATTTTAATGCAGCCATTATAAAGTTACTTCATCAAGCAGTTATACCATGTTTAAGCCAAATAGAAAATTAGAATGTTTCAGCCAAAAATATAAAGTCTCAGCAAAGCCATAGAAGATTTTTTTTAAAAAATAATAATTTTTCAACTGAAAAATACAATAGCCAAAACAAAAAGCTTAATAGATGGATTCAACAGCAGAAGAGAGTGGGGAGAGGAAAGAATCTGTGGACCTGAAAATAGAAATTACCCAATAAGAACAATAGAGAGAAAATCAACTGGGGGAAAAAGCAAACAAAAAACCAAACAAACAGAGCTTCAGGGGCATTTGGAACAGTAACAAAAGATCTAACATTTATTTCATTGGAGTCCCAGGGGAAGAGAAAGTGGGTGGTACTGAAAAGAAAAGTACTTGAAGAACTAATGGTTGAAAATTTTCTAAATTTGGCAAAAGAAATAAACCTACAGATTCAATAACCTGGCTGAACCCAAAGAAAACTACAGCAAGACACATTCATAGTCAAAATTTTGAAAACTAAAACCAGAAAAACGTTGAAAGCAACAAGAAATGACACCCTATGTATGTTAGTGAAACAAGTAAAATGACAGCATATTTGTCATCAGAAGCAACAAAGGCTGAAAGGAAGTGGCATAGCATTTTTATAGTGCTGAAAGAAAAAAGAATTAACCCAGAATTCTACATCCAGTGAAAATATCCTTTAGGAATCAAGGAGAATGAAAATATTCTTAAATGAAAGAAAATTTGCTGCCTGCAGGCCTGCTCTCAATAAATGGCCAAAAGATGTTCTCTAAACGAAAAGAAAATTCTAAAACAAAACCAAAATTCTAAAAAAACAAACAAAAACAATCAGGAAAATAGAAGAATGGAGAAAGTAAAACTATAGATAAATAAAACGCTTTTCTTCACCTTTTGAGTTTTCTTTTTTCCCATTTTTATTGAGATATAATT